TTACGCTCTAATATCACTCGTTCTCTTGAGAAATTCCTAAACGAAAAAAGGTTAAAATTCTCATAAATTAGTTGTCGAAACTATATTTTTGATTGCAAAAATAATTTTTAAATGTTTCAGGCGGGTTTCTATTGATTCGGGTGCGAGTGACACTTTTGCAAAGGTTAAATTTTTCGACCTGAACTCAACCTAACAAAAAAATCAATTTACACTGCTTTTATCTTTCTAGAAGTTTACTTTTAAAGAAACTTTTCAAAGTCAAAATTATATAAGCGAATAAATATTTGAAATAAAATTTATTCGTAAACGTTTGCAAATCAGGTACGCCACTTTTCACTACACTGAAACGTTCTCTAAACAAAAAATGCTGGCCGCCACTTTCAAAGCTGTAAACTGCAGTAGGTCCGTCCATAACTGGCAGAAGGTTTTGCCGATTAGGAGATTTTCAACGGAGCCTTTCCAGCCAATCCCGGGACGAGTCCCCAAGAAGGTTGACAATGCAGAGGAGGCGGTATCCTATGTTAAGTCAGGTCACTAAAATTAAAAAAAATTATTATAGTATTATTATAAATAAATAAATAGCCATATTAATTACTTTTTTATTGATAACCCAGACAAACAACTCGTGATATAGTAAAAATAATCTTTATACTTTTCTCCCTAACTAACCAACCGTCAATTAGGCATGAGAGTCTACATCCATGGATGTGCTGCCACCCCCATTGTCTTAGTCGATGCCCTGGCGAAGTATGGCAAGAAGGCCAACTTGAGAGATGTTAACATCATCCATATACACACTGAAGGGCCTGGTACCTATGCCAGGGAAGAATACAAAGGTGCTAAAGTTATAGTTGCAATGTTAAATCATCTATTCATCATTTGTTTTATAATTCACAATTTCATGATGTTAATTTTGTTATTCTTTTTATTTCAAAATTTGTTTTTTGGAAAACATTTTCTGTATTTGTTCATCTGCTTGTTTGTTTGTCCAATCGTTTGTCAATGCATTTATCCATTCATCCATTCATTCATCCAACCATCCATCCATCTAACCATTCATTCATTCATTCATTCATTCATTCATTCATTCATTCATTCATTCATTCATTCATTCATTCATTCATTCAACCATTCATTCATTCATTCATTCATTCATTCATTCATTCATCCATTCATCCACAATTATCAATTGTATCCATTTATCTGTTGACAGTGAAAAAACTCTCAAAAGACAACTACAGCATACATAGGGCTGCCTGAATGAATTAGTACAACATGAGTACACACACGTACACACACATACACACGCGCGCACACACGCACTCACACATACAATACACATATACAGGTACATACACGCATATACATTGTATTATCTATTGTGTTATGACTTGATGCAATTAAACATAATTACATACAATTGGACGTAAACGAACACACACACGCCTCTCATTCTCACACATACATACACACACGCACACAGGCATTTTTCACACACACACACATCTCTCTACTCTCTCCTATCTCTCTCGCTCTCACACACACAAACAGACCACTTCAGAAGTAACTCCCTATTCATCGGTAGCAACATGAGGGAGGCAGTCAACTCTGGCAGGGCTGACTTCACCCCCATCTTCCTTAGCGAAATTCCTCTCCTCTTTAGACGCAACATCGTGTCACTGGATGTGGCCCTAATTACCGTTTCGCCACCGGACCAACACGGGTTTTGCTCGATGGGGACGAGTGTGGATTGCACGAGGGCCGCCCTCCAGAAGGCTGATTATGTTGTCGGTAGGTGGTGTCCGAAGGGGTAATTGGTTTATCGGTCGTTTGTTTGTTTCCTTCTGTCGTTCGTTCGTTCGACTTTCGTTCGTTCTTTCGTTCGTCTCATTCATTCATCAGTCATCATTCAACCAACTAATCACAATCAACCAACCGACCAATCATAGCCCAGGTGAACAAGTTCATGCCCCGAACCTTTGGTGACAGTAGCATTCACATGTCGCACTTTGACGTCATGCTGGAGGCTGACCTTGACCTTCCGAAAATTCACACCGGCACCCCCTCAAAAGAAGAGCTTATGATTGGTCGGTTGGTTGGTTGATTTGATTGGTTGTTTGACTGATCGGTCGATTGATTGTTTTCTTCATATATTGGGTATATATCATATATGACTTCATCATCATCACAATCACCATAATCATCATCATCCTCATCACAATCATTATCATAACCATTCCCAGGTCAGCTGATTGCAGATAATTTAGTTGAAGATGGTGCTACACTTCAGATGGGTATGAAGATGATGATGATGATGATGACGCTGATGATGATGATGGAGAGGACGACGACGATGACGATGATGATGAATCTGCTGCTGTTGTTTATGGATGAATGAACGAATAACTTTTCACCTCATCAATCCATCAAACCACTCACAATCCCACGTGACCCCACACAACCCCACTTGACACCACACAATGCCACGTGACGATTTCACCTCCACAGGGATTGGCTCAATCCCAGACGTGGTCCTCTCGAAACTGACCAATCACAAGGACCTTGGAGTGCACTCTGAAATGTTCAGCGACGGAGTCGTGCCCCTGGTCGAGTTGGGCTGCATAAATAATTCGCTGAAAAATGTTCACCAGGGCAAAATTGTCGGAAGTTTTGTCTTCGGCACTCGAAGGCTCTACGATTTCATCAATGATAACCCGGCCGTTGGTTAGTCGCGACGCTCTTATTGGTTGATTGAATAGAAGTGCCTGATTGGCTGGTAGTCTATTGGTCTGATTTGTCGATTGGTTGGATAGCTGGCTGGTTTGATTTGTGATTGGTTGGTTAATAGTTGATTTGTTAGATTCACTCATTCACTCACTCACTCACTCACTCACTCATTCACTCACTCACTCACTCATTCACTCACTCACTCACTCATTCACTCACACACTCACTCATTCATTCACTCATTCACTCACTAATCCTTCACTCTAGCGATGCACGACGCTCAGTTCGTGAACAACCCCGTCGTCATTTCACGTAATCCGAGGGTCACGGCCATCAACTCCTGTATCGAGATCGACCTCACGGGCCAGGTAATTATTATAATTTATATAATAATTATAATTATAACTATCATGGTGTTGATGTGATGATAGTGATACTACTACTGCTACTACTACTACTGCTGCTGCTACTGCTGCTGCTGCTACTACTGCTGCTACTACTATGGCAGCTGCTACCGCTGCTGCAGCTGCTGTGGTTACTGCGGTTACTGCAAGTATTAATAATTTATATTATAGTTAGTAATTTTGTTGTTCAAGTTGTGTTGAAAGGTGATAGTGAGATGGTGATGGAGTTGATGTATTCATAATTTATTTCGTTAGGTTGTATCTGATTCAATTGGAACAAAAATGTACTCAGGTCTGTTTGATTGGTTGGCTGATTGGTTGATTGGTTGGCTGATTGATTGGTTGGCTGATTGGTTGGCTGATTGATTGGTTGGCTGATTGGTTGGCTGATTGGTTGGCTGATTGGTTGATTGGTTGGCTGATTGATTGGTTGGCTGATTGGTTGGCTGATTGGTTGGCTGATTGGTTGATTGGTTGGCTGATTGATTGGTTGGCTGATTGGTTGGTTGGTTGATTGGGTGAATACATTAAATACGTAATTTATACATGTTAATAATGAAATATTTCATTAAATTTTGCCAGCAAATCATTATTATCAGACATTTCAACCGACCAATCGCAATCGACTTTCAACTGACCAATCACAGGCGTCGGTGGGCAAGTTGATTTCCTGAGAGGCGCTACCATTGGCTACGACGGTCTGGGAAAACCCATTTTAGCCATGCCTTCATCAACCAATAAAGGGGTATCTAAGATTGTACCGTTTCTGAAAGAAGGTTTGTTTGAATGAATGAATGAATGAATGAATGAATGAATGAATGAATGAATGAATGAATGAATGTATGAATGAATGAGTGGATAAATGAATGAATGAAAGTAAGAAACTGATTGAGAGAATGTCTGAAAATTGTGCAAAATTTTAAGTTAAACTTAATGAATAAAAGCCTGTGCATGTTGAACGAACGTTCGAATTAAAAATTACCCCCAAAAAGGGACCTCTACCTCCCCCGTAAAAAAAACCCCACCCTCACCCCCACATTAAAACCCCCCACCAGGTGGCGGTGTGGTGACCACACGAGCGCACGTGCACTATGTGGTGACGGAGTTCGGGATAGCCTACCTTTTCGGCAAAACTTTGAGGCAGAGGGCCTACGAACTCATTAAGATCGCCCACCCCGACCATCGGGAAGAACTCGAGAAGGCCGCCTTCGAAAGGTTAAAGGTCATGCCCTCGCCCTAATGAAGAAGATGAGGATGGTGAAGTTGATGAGGATGGTGGAGATGAAGAAGATGGTGAAGTTGATGAAAATGGTGGAGATGAAGAAGATGGTGGAGTTGACGAAGATGGTGAAGTTGATGACGATGTTTAAGAAGAAAGGAAGAAGAAAAAAAATGATTGTTTTAATGGCGGTAAGAATGATAGTTATGTGCGATGGAGTTTGAGATTAGTTCATACACGCGTTTGTATCTTTGTTTTTATGATTTTATGTGTGTGTGTGTGTGTGTGTGTGTGTGTGTGTGTGTGTGTGTGTGTGTGTGTGTGTGTGTGTATGCAAGTGTGTATGCAAATGTATGTATGCATGTATGTGTGCATACGTATGTTGTGTGCGTATGTATGTATGTCTGTGTGTATGTATGTATGTGTATTTGTATGTATGTCTGGATGTTGTACAAGTCTATTTATTTTATCATTATATTGGTTTTAACCTTTTAGTTTCTCATTTTACCTGAAAATTATTTGCAGATTTGTAAAACATTTAATAATAATATTAATAATATAATAATAATTATCCGGCTAACATATATACATACGAAGATTTGATTGATTGTGAGTTATTTGTGGAATTAATAATACCTTTACTTTACTTTATTATTATTATTTATTATTATAATTATTATTATTTTTATGGTCTAGTAGTCATGTTTTTAGATTTCTGAATCTGATTTTTAAAAAATTATTTCGTTTTTTCTTTTACTTTTTGAAAGTTTATTTATTTGGGGTTTTATTTCGTAAGAAAATCAATCAATCAATATTTTATTCTTTCATTTGATCGTTCATTCATTCATTCATTCATCCATTCATTCATCCATTCATTCATCCATTCATTCATCAATTCATTCATTCATTTTTTACTGATTGATTATAACTTGTTATATGATATATTTTTGAAAGGTCTTTCGTAGCTACTTTGGTTATTATTATCATTTGTAGTAGAACTTTTCTTAGAAATAATAATAATAATTATTATTATAAAATTATAATAATAATTATTATTATATAATAATAATAATTATTATTGTTATTATTATTATCTTACAAAAGTATAGTTACGTAATTACAATGTGGTTTTATTCTTTTGTTACCATAGTTACTACTACAACCCTTGTTTTTAAACGCATGTGATGTCTTTATTCTTTTATTCTTGTATTTATTTTATTTATTCATTCGTTCGTTCGTTCGTTCATTCGTTCATTCATTCATTCATTCATTCATTCATTCATTCATTCATTCATTCATTCATTCATTTAATCGTCTATTTATTTGTCTTCAAATACGATACATGAAATAATAATAAAAATTGGAATCAGTATTTTATTTAGTTGGTTATGAAAAGTATGGAAACTTGAAACCTCGCCGGGAACTGGCGACGAAGTAGACAAACTTTAGACAGACTGTTCGCAGAGAACTGGCGGTTAAATGAGGAAAAACTGAAACCAATCAATCTTTCGGGAAGAGATCGCGGAAAAATATAGAGACTTGAGGCAACTGTCTAAAGAAGAGTGGAAAATATCTCAAAAATGTAAACGGTTGTCATCAGAAATATCTTAGTCTTCGCTCATTCATTCGTTCACGCTCATCTATTTGTTCGTTAATTCTTTCGTTCGTCTGCCTGTTCGTTCATTCCTGCGTTCGTTCGTTCCCTCTCTCGTTCGCCTATTTCGTTGCTTCGTTCATCTAATTAATTAATTAGACGAACGTTAATCTAATTATTAATTAATTTAGTAGACAGAACGAGAATTCATTTTTAAAAATGCAAGATTACAAAAATGATTAATTAAAATCAAGGAAAATATACGGGTATATTTAAATAAAATAGATAAATAAATATATTTATTTCTCTCTCTCTCTCTCTCTCTCTCTCTCTCTTCTCTTTGTGTCTGTGTGTGATATTTTCAAATGTTAAAAGTTTAAACATGATTCACAACAATATAAACGAAAATGTAGATGAGAAAAGGAATGAATGAAGGAATGTAAAATTGAATAAATGAATGATTAAATGAGTGAACGAACGAACGAACGAATGAACCAACTAGGAAAATTCAAAAATAGAAATGAAAAAATCGACCATCAAGCAGAAAAAGATAGAAAAGAATATGCGTAGGTACATATGCTGGTAAAAACCACAATTCATGCAGTGATTTATAAAATCTACCGAATTTCTAGCGTTGGATAGTTTCAGTGCCTTAAATCTACCTTAAACATTTCTTTAATCTACCGAAAATTCCAGGACAGAGCGAAATAAAAG